AATTTGTCATATTGGTCCCCATTATAATGTATGGGCTGCTTGCATGTGAAAAGTTCCCTTGAAAACTTTCTAATACGGTTCTGCTGAGTGACCATTTCAGCACAGCTTGCTTTGAGAATTACTACCCAGTACTTGACCTTATTCTTGAACTTTCATTGGTACCGTATACTCTTGATGAAGTGTCGCCACTTTATACCGCCAAGTACAAATAACTAACTCAGTATTAGCTGCTTATATCTCCGGTCCACAGTTTTTTATTGACAAAGTAACTAATAATTCGCATTATGTTTGGGGAAACTTAACGTGAACTACAGTTACAGCGGAATTACTTTTGTATTAATTTTCATCCAAGCCTTGCCTCAGTGGAATTACTGTCCCATAGAAGCGGGCAGAGGACTCATTCTGGGGTAACCCTCTCTTCCAAATCATAACACCCTCTAGTGAGTAGTTGGTGGATGAGTCCAATCCGGCACTGGGTCTATTCGGAGAACAGTCATGGCTAATATCATTGCGCTTATGACTCGATGCGGAAATGGGTTCCCAAAATTCTTTCCAATTTTTTTAATAGAAATTGTGAAAGGCATTATGGTCTAAAGTCGCTTGGCTTAGTATGAAAATTAGTAAGGCGCCAGTTTGTCAGTAAAAATAATAGAGTACCAGTGAAGAAGCCTTTGAAGTTGTATCACTGCAGCCTCAAAACATATTTGAGTAATCAGACAAATGGAAACTATTTTCATTCCGATAATCGTTGACCTGTTTGGCCTTGCCTCATCCTACCTCTATTCCTCTTTGGTGGGGAATCGCTCCTGAACTGATTAGTAGACCAAACGAGTTCAGGGGCATATTCGGGGTGAGAGTAATCAAACTTTCCTTTGACTGTGAAGAACATCCATTAATGTCTTAACTGTATGAAGGAAGTCTGGTAGTGTTTTAAGCGTTTTGGTGGTTTTCATTTTAATTGCTCTAATTTTTAGTAGAAAAGTCAGCATCTCGAATTTGCAAGTTGGACTCATTTTAAATAACTATGTATGTATTTCGTCAACTAGAATTGCTTGCACTCGTACAATATATTAATGCAACAATTTGTTTATGGTAGTATCTACCAACTAAGCTCTTTGAGACGTTTTATTTTATGCTCTTAGTCACATATTTCTTGCATTCCATTTCTGTATATAAGTATAACTCAGCTTGCTCCTTCGCTTTATCGATTGCAGACTTATTAAACTTTCTCCTTCGTCGCCTTTGCTTTTGCTTGTAAAATTTCTTTGCGGTTCTTTCATAACCACTACTATGTTGTTCTGTTTTGCATTGGAATTCCAATTTCAATAAATGCAACGCATTCTTTTCAACCTCATTCCTTTTCTCGGAATACTGAGTAGTACAAGGACATTGCTGCTTACCGTTTGGTATGCAAAACTCTGCTTCATCGCATTATTAAAAGCTATGCGTTAAAGAAAACATCGAGCGTCATGTATGTACACTTTGAAGAAAACAATTAGGCTTTTACATAGAAAGGCCCCTATTATGAGTTGCATTCGATTTTCGACTGTGGTCGAAAGTGCTGAGCGAACGAATTTTCATTTGGTATTATGGCGTTCATTCGATGAAGAATAGCGCTATTGTGAATTTCGCTCGTTTAGGTTGTTCACAATAGTATATTTTTCAGCGCTGAGAAGCTTTGTTTACAAATCGAGCAAACTAAATAGTGTGCTTATACATATTTATGTAAATTTGTTGTAATTAAAATGAAGTAAAAAAGAAAGCAAGTTTATAAAAACGTGGTAAAATGAGTACAACGAGTTCTGGTTCAACGATTCGTCAGAGGATGAGAGCTTAATAAACTGGCCAGGAGTAGCAAATGTTTAAGAGAGTTTAAGTTTATTAGCCTTTTGAATATATTTTGATATAAAATATATTTAAGAAATTTGTCTACAGATTCATTAAAAAGTTCCGACCATCTAAAGAGGCGTTTGTGAGCCAAATCTATTTAAAATATTTTAAAACTATCAACAGCGCTACGATTTTGTTCTCAGAGATCGTGCCAACAGAGTATTGGGATTTTCTTTCACAAGTAAAACCAGCCTTTCGAGCTTGTGTGTTTAGTATACACGATGTTAGAACTGCATGAAATTAATAAAAATTGTTTAAAATTAGTGTCTAGCCGCCAAAATGTAAGAAAACATATACAAAATCATACATTTTTCACAATTTTCTAACACTTCGCTACACCATCGAAAGCAAAATTCTGTTCGACAGAAAATTCGACACTCAACGAAAATTTCGACACGCTTGAATAGCTCATAATACGAATTTCACTTTCGATCTCCGATCTTCGATAGCCAGCGAAGATCGAAAATCGAATACAGCTCATAATAAGGGCCAATGTGTTGGCGACATGTACTTAGAAGAATGTACTATGTAGGTTGTTCTTATTGTTTTTAGTTTATTTTTTATTTTTCATTCAAGATGCATAGGCTATGTATGTACCCAAAAGCTTAGTGCAAATGTTTGAATAGCGTTAAAGTGGGCGCAAGTGGAGGAAAAAGTCATGTTGGGGTTCGAGAAGGGAATGTAAAAGTTCACATCAAACTTCTTCCAAGAACGGCGCAATACAAACTAATCAGTTTAGTTGCATTTGGCGCTGAACCCATAAAATCAAGTGTCTTTCCTTTCAAACTGCAGCCAATTCTTTAAGTGCCATCCATGGCTTATTCACGTCAAAATAGTTATTATTTATATGGCATGTTTCTCTTTTTCATCAAAATAAGTTAATAACTAGCATAGAAATATTTCCAAATAGGCGTTCTAAATATGAGTTAATTCGGGCCATAAATTCAGGTTTCCCAATTGTCTCGACTCCTGCGCGACACGCATAAGAGTTATTTGTTTTCATTTAAGTAATATACATAAACCGCTAGCTTATAGTGAAAAGTTGCTATATCCACTTTTTAAGAAAAACAAAATAATACTTTTTTGACGCTTAAGAGACCATAAGCAAGAACAAAATACACGTAAATGGTGGTTCTTCTCTAATGTTGTCGAAACACCAGCTGTTTAATATGCCATGATTCTAATACATTTAGTTAGAGCTTTACCTATAATTTGATCTCTGAAGTGACACCACTGAAAATTACACAAAAAACAGCGAGACACGTAAACATAATTTGGGGTCTGAGTTTATGGATCTGTATACCGTTTTTCTAGATCCGGTCCCAAGTTATTACCATTTTAAGTTTGCTTTGCTAATAAAAAAATTCAAACTCTAACATGGAAAATGTTACTCTTACGCCATGTAAAAGTACTATGCATGAGTACGGCCATGTACGATGTGGCGTATGAGTAACATTAATTAGTTATACACATTTTCATTTGACGTTTCACACTTGTTTATTTATCCATCGATTTTCATCGCTATTAGCTCGATTTATTTACAAAAGAACAGGCTTTAATTAATACAAATAGAAAACATTTTTTGATTATTTTTTTTTTTTTAAAGTTTGATTTTTTTATAAAAATGAAAATATCTTGGAAAATGACCTGATCTGGAAAAATTCAGAAAGATGAAAAAACGATTTAACCCGCATTAGTCCTAATATTTAAATTTGACCCTTTTTAAATTGGGAATCCGATTTTTTCACTTTCCTTGTATCCGATCAATACAACTTTTCCTAACTTTACATTTTTCTAAAAAAAAAGTAATATTTTGTTATCCATGGAATTTTGCTTTTGAAATTGAAATTTATACGTTAATTTTGAGCTTCAGACCTAATAACCTAAATTTAAGTATATAGTTTATTCTAATTGAAATATTTTTTTGTCTACTGTTACCAATTGGACCCAAGGATCTCAGAGGACCCTATTCTCACATAACCGAGAAACTTTAAATTTTCATCGGGAGGAATAATTTCCCGTCGAAGCAATGCCGCTCAGTTCGCGGAACCAACACAGAGCAATGGTGCCAGAATTTCACAACGAACTAGAGCCAGCACAAATAAGCGTGGACGATATTTCTTATGTCAGTATGACATTAGCGCAAACAAACAATCAAACAAACTTCTAATATGTGTTAAATGTGAAGAAAAACAAATTACAAGTACTAAACAATTATCAATAACAAATAATATTTTATATAATCCCAAAAAACCGTGACAAATGAGGTTTGTAATTTAAGGGACTAATGCGGGTTAATTCATCCGCCGGGCATATAAAGTTCGCTTTCGACTGAACTTATTTTTGTCTCTCGAATTTTATTGCGGCATATTAATATTTATTTGCTTGTTCTAATCAATTTCGCCCTTAATGCGGCTGGCTGGAGAATAACATTGTCGCTATTTAGAAACAATCGAGAGAGTATATATGTCACTGAGTACAGCAATAAAGTAATTTCATCTAGACTTTGTGATAACGCCTTATCTATTGTGTGAAATACCTTTTGGAATTGTAACAGCTCTCAAAATACAAATTAAGGTTCACTCATTAATAAAATACTTTTGGATCAGACATTCAGAATTTTAAGTAAATAAGTATGTATTTAGAATGGTGCAATAAATGATTTAGGCAAATCGACGTATGCAAAAGAGTTAACACACTCTACTTGTGTTTAGTGTATGCATATTTAATAAACGGCACGCCGAAACCAAAAGCAATTACACATACATATATATGTTCATATTTATTCACGTTTGGCCAACGGAGTACATTCTTATGGTTTATTTAACTAAATACGGTAGCCTCTTTGCCTCCAGTACTACTACCTTGAGTTGCTAGAAAGCAAATATGGTACTCCTTGGCTGTTGCATTAACTACTTCGCCTTTTCTCATTGCAACATAATTTTTATAACTTATGTACATGCACATACATACATAAATATATATGCATGTGTAAGCATATATATATGTATGTTTTTTATATACATGTGTACATATTGTCTCAATATCACTACCGCTGTGTACTATATGGTTTTAATTGCATATTCCTCCTTTTGTTTGTTTAATTTCAGGTTGGCAACTTGGCAAACGATGGCATCAAGTTGGCGACTGGCTCAAAGGAGCGACGCTGTTCCATGTCACCACATGACGGACTCGAGGAGGAGGCACGCGGTGGCACCTTACGCGCCCTATGGACGCATGGCGGTCCGACGGCGGCCTTTGTGCACATCGTGATTGCAATGTGTTTGCTGTTGCCGCGCTTGCTCTTGGAGGCTAGAATAATTGAAAACGGACTGCTGCCAAGAGGTAATTAAACAAAGAACCAACTTCGGCTCAACGCCGGCCAAACCAAAACAAACCACCAATGTAAGCCAAAAACGAAGTGTAAAGGTTGACGCGCCGGCATTGGCTGGCGGTGGGCTGGATGGGCGATAGTCTTGGCTGATCTGGCGCTCTTGCATATACATACTTCAGGGATATATGTATGTATGCCGGTAGATATAAATATGTTTATGTATAATCTGTGCGTATATATGCGCGTGTTTACAGTCGGCGCTCCAGCGTAAACACTGCAACTACATACGTAACTCTGTGTGTGATTTAAAAGCATACATTTACATTTGTCACATGTGTTGGTAGTCAACTTCGTGGCCATTTTGTTTGTTATCTCCCCCACTCGTTCGAGCAGCTGGTGCGGTCGGCCTGCTCATATGATGTTTGTCATCATAGTGGCCACTGTGTTGATTGACTGGCTTTGGCCATCTACGCTCGCTCGTGTGCATTCTGCCACTTCGGCGTTGATTGAGGTTTGACGGTGCAGTGGAAGCACAGTAAGACGGGAATTTCGATTGAGGAAATTAATATGGAGAGAAATTTTTTAACTCCAACAACAATCCGCTTCAAACGTTAACATTTAAATGCACATCGAGCCCTAACCGCCAAAAAGCTGTAAGCGACACTTTTTTCACAACTTTATTTTTGATGCGTAGATATATTTAGTTGCACAAAAAAGCTCACACACAAGCTTTTGTCCAACAACATAATTAACCAAAATTTAATAAAAAAATTGTTTTCTACAAACAGGAAAACTTCAGCCGGCTGTTTGGTTTAAATGGAATTAAGTTGGTGGTGGGGTTTGCTATTTTCAGAATCCGAGCTTATTCAACTTCGTTAACGTATTTATGTACATCAGTTGGTTGACGTTTTCAATGTCATTTTGAAGTTTTTGGATAAAATGTTATCTTTCTCGACAAGGCCGTGCTTTAAAAAAGGAAATAATTCGAAAGAAAATTTTACTTCGAGATTCATTCTACAAATGCTATATTTACCAAGTACTTAGTTCAGCAGACGTTAAATGGAATATGATCGAAGAAAAATCACAAGAAATATCTTTCATTATTTCTGTTGGCCGAAAAAGTACTTTGCTTCTGCTGTAAATTTTCTTGAAGAAATATTAAATATTCTAGCATTTTTTTCTTGAGAGCTGCAAACTGATTTAACAAATTTTGATAAAAGAAAATTTATATCAGGCATTTTTCGTTTTCCTTTAGAGATGCAAACAACCCTTTTAATGGAAATTCAACAATACACAGTATTTTCTTTTTTGGATAGAAGGTGACCAGATTTCTGTGGCCAAAAATCGGGACATATCTAAAGCAGCGAATCTGAACATACAATTTTGTTTTTCGAATAAAAAGACATAACATCTTTTAATACGGTTTTATTTAAAAAAAAAAATAAAAAAATAACTTACTATCTAAAAAAAAATGTAAACCAAAGTTTCCGTTTTTGTAGAACATTTCGATGGCTGAGTGGAAGATCGACCTATCTCGGCAGCCAGTTCGAAAACGCCCTATTTCAGAAAATGTTTCAACAACGCTCTATCTCAGAAAACTTTTCAAGAACGCCCTACTTCAGAATTTGATTGAAAAATGCCCTATCTCCCTCCAAAATCGGTACGAATGCTCACATAACGTCGTTGGATAAAATACAAAACCGCGCATCAACAAAATCAAAACTGCGTATGGTGCATAAATTATTTTCTAGAGAGTAGAAAACACTTCATTTTTATAAAAAAAAAAAAATCAAATTTCAACAATGAAAAAATCAAAAAATAGCAAATAGTTTGTATTCTTTTTTTAATTGTATTAAAGCCTATTCTTTTGCCAAAAAATAAAGCAAGTAACGATGAAAATCAATGGATAAATAAATGACTTTTGTATGAAATACGAGCAGGAAATATTGTTACTCATACGCCATAACATACTTGGTCGTACTCGTATATGGCGTATGAGAAACATTCTCTATGCAAACTTAAAACGAAAATATCTCGGGCAAAATTACCTGATCTAGAAAAATGGTGTACAGATCCCGAATATAAGACCAAAAATGAAGTGCCTCCAGAATTTGACAAATGTCCAAAGCGGACAAGGCTAAGTTAAGGAAGTTGCTATTCTTTTGACTCTGCCAAATGTTTGTCCATTTTAATTTCTAGAGACAAAAGTATAAAAAAAAATATAAAAAATTGTATGTATTTGTGCTATAACCGATCCAACTGTAGAAAGGATTAAATTCATAAAGCGTATGCAAGTCCATTGACAGCGAATGAATATCAGCTGTGGCCACAGTGGCCAGCACTGCAAATTCAATCAATTGTTGGCAATTTAAATTTTTATTTCTCATTTGAATTTCCCTCGCTTTGGCTTTTTATTTTGATATAGGTGTTGTTTGGTTCTCCAACTGGTCGGAAATGATAATTTCTTTTTAATTAAAAATGCTTTTTTTCCAGTTATAGCGAATATTCGCTTTCCGGTCGATAATAATTGTATTTGTGCATTGTAGTTGTGGTTAGTGTTTAATTTGGTTTTTTGCAATTTTTATTGATGTTAATGCAATTGCATTCACATATGTGTGCATTCGTACATACATATTTGTATGGCATATCCTACATTTCCTGTTATGCAAGTGTAAATATGTATATGTTACACATGTAGAAAAATATTCGCACAGGCAAATTACATACATACATCATATGTGTACATAAGTGTATACAAGTGCTTATCCTCCTTTTTACATTTATGTCATTCTTTCATCATCATTTCGATTTAACATTAATGCCACTGTTGCCAGATTGTTTTACGCATATCATTGCTATTCAAATAATACATTTTTTTTCCAACTCACACTTTTTTAATTTCTTTTTATGTTTGCTGCCCACAAATTTAATTTACTTGTTTTAAACGTAATTTTATCCAGTAATTTTTTGACAACGCCTACATACTTTTTTAAAAATTTCAAAGCTTTCGATTATATTGGCGGTTTCAATTATTCCGCTTTTGCTTAGTTACCGAATAAAAAGCGCATCCAACGAAGTGACAAATTGTGGTTTACTTTGATTGGCGAATTGCAAATTCGATTGTGTAATTGTTTATTATTCGCTCAGCTGCGATATGGTGGCACGGATCAAACGCACGGTCTCTACATGCATACATATGTACATAGGATAGGTTAGAATGGTGCCATTTTGATAGCATAATATGTTAGAACCAATCGGCGCGGTTGATGAAATTGAGTAAAGGGCTCTACTGTTTCCTGCTCGTTTTCATCTCTGCCGCTTCCACAGAAGTCATTGTAGCCGATGCCCAGCATACTCGCGTGTGTGCCAACTAGTCAATACCCAATAAGAATCGCTACAAGCCTTTTATAATCTCCCAGATATGCTCTCGGTCCGACCGGGTATTTGTCATATAGGATGTTGGTACCACGTAACCCACTCACACTTAACTCGCACTTAATTACTGAGCAAATCTAGTGGCACTTACCTTAAAGAATTGCAGATTTGGCCTGAACCACGTACTAATAATAACATACATATGTATATAAGTATATCCCAATTATTATCAGCGCCTTAAGACCCTTATTACACACTCTTTATACTAAATCCAAATCCATTAAGTTTATGAGTCAATAATCAAATTCCAGAAACACCACTTACCGACGTTTTGCGAAGATGCTAAGCAAACGAACGAGTGAGTGGTCGTAGAAGAAAGAAAATATTTAAGTGCCCACTTCAGTCATTGGCGTAGCAATAAATAATTAATTTTGGCCCATTTTCTGTAGTTGAAACTGTAAAAGCAGCAATTGGACATAAAATCTTTGAGAATGAAGAAAGCAGTTATGTGCCAACATTAAAAAGATACTACTCATATAAAAGCAAAGCGCCTAAATGCACACACACACAACAATATATACCCAGCCCTGCAGGAAATGTATTTTACTATAAGTTAGCTTGAAGGCAACTATTATTTGTATTTTTTCTTTTAGAAAAACTAACTATATTTGTATGGCGATGGTCGCAAAAAGTCATTTTTGGTGACAACTAATTTGGAACTAACTACTTCTGAATATCCTTAAGAAAAATAATATTTTTTACATGTTTAAAATCATTTACACGCATTTATTATGTTTCAGCTGTGTGTAATCAAATGTTGCAGTAAATTTTTCCCGATGATCTAGAGACTTGAAGCTTCAAGCTTAGCTCAGCAGCTGATGGCAATGCACTCTGAGTGATGAATTCATCCGCTAGATGGCGCAGGTGTCGAGATATATGAAAATGCCGTGCTTATAGTCCGATATGATTCATATTTTAAATGCATATTACTTACATGAGAATCAAGAACTCTACAAATATTTTGCTCGATAGGTGGCGCAGAAGTCGAGGTATTTGGGAAATCCGTACTTATGGGCCGATTTGTTTCATACTTCGTCAAAATCAGTTTTTGCTGTCCAATAAATGACTATATGTGACCATCAGTGGTATTCGAGAGTTTTAGCTTTCATTTAAGCCTAAGTGGAAGGTTCTAACACATTCTACCAGCTTCTTAGATATTTAAAAATACGCGATTTTATAACAATTTGACTTAGTTTTTCTCAAAATCTGGAGCTAACGGAAACTTTATACTTACGGATTCGTAATTAGCACAAAAAAGTCTATCAAAAACAGCTTTAATATTTGCCGCAATAATTTTTTCCGCCATTTTGGTTCGCCTGTGTAATTTTTCCCTGCAGGGTAAGAATGATCTGAAATGCCAGCGCAGCAATTCACGTGAACGACTGTCGGCGCGGAAAATTAAGGCGCACTTGCTTAGTAGGTTAAATGTAAAGACCGCATTTACGCGGGTGGAAAAGAGCGTTGCTTTGTGTATACTATATTTGCATGTGGAAATGTATGTATACATCACAGCAAAGGCAACTTATACAAATATAATAAAACTCTTATCATTATTCATGCTAAAGACTTAACGAGT